TTATTTATTATATTTTATTTTATTTATTATATTTTATTTTATTTATTATATTTTATTTTATTTATTATATTTTATTTATAAGTTTATTAATTATTTATTTTATAACTTAATGATAATTATATATTTATATATTAACTAGTTTCTTATAATTCTGACTATTAACTTTAATATTTCAAAAAGTGTATTAATACTAGAAATTAGAAAACTGTAATTAAGTCTAGAATAATCTTAACTAAAAAATTTACACTACTAATATTTACTTTATCTAGACTTTTATGTAATTACAAAGCTAATCAATATTGATTTAATTATTAAGCAGATAGATATCAGAATATTTATATTATCTTGTATAGTATTATATTATCCTTTACTTCTTTTTGAACTAATTAATATAAAGAAATAATTTTATATTTAATATTTTAAATCTTATTATTTATTATTAATTAATAAAATTTTCTTTTTATAAAATAAAATATTATTCTATTTATAACGATAATAAATTAATATTAATTAATTTTGTAAATCATTTTTTAAATTTTTAAATTTTTTAAAAATTTCTTTTAAATGTTTTTTTTTTTAATATTTAATTTTTACTAAATATTTTTATTCTTTTATTATTCTTATTTTTTTATTATAATTTCTATTTTTCTTTTATATTTTATTAGTTCAGAATGAACTAAATAGAATTATTTATATTTTAGCTACTTTAATATTCTAATATCTACTTACTTAATAATTGAGTTAATGCTAATTGTCTTTTACAATTATACAAAAATCTAAATAAAGCAAATATTAGGATAAATTTTTTTAATTAAAATTATTTTGAACTTAATAATAGTCATTCTTTCCTAATATATATATTAATTTTTTTTAACAATTTTCTTTAATTTTCTTTTAATAATATATTTTACAATAAATATTCTATAATTTTATTATTCAGTTTCTCTTTATTTAAATTTTTATATAATTATTTCATTTTCATTTTTTTTGTTTTTTTAAACTTTTAATATTATTTTTTTACTTTTATTTTATTTTTTTAATTTATTTTTATTTTTTTTATAATTTATTTTTTTTTATTATATTTAAGATCAGCCTTTTTTGAATTTTAAAAACCAACTGGTAAATTGAATTCCTTCTTCTTAAAATGGGTGGACTTCTCTAAAAATATTTACAGATTTTAATATTTCATGATACTTATATTAAAAAATTTAATTGTTATAAAAATCACAAAACTTTTTTCCATTAGAAAAAATGGATTATATTTTATTTACTTTCCCTTCATTTTCTTTTTGACTTAATAAAAATAAAAATAAAAATTTGCTTTATTTTTGTGTAAAATGAAAATAATGAACTATTTAATTGTTACATGATCTTTTACTAAGAATTTACTCACAGTAAATATTGTAAATGCTCAAAAAAAAAGCAAATATTAGAATGTATTTCAAATAACATACATCTGAGGGAATTTCTGATAAGAAATTGTAAAAATTATCCTATTCTATTATAGAAATCTGTGTTATTGAAAAAAAAATTCATTGAGTATTTTAAACTATAAAGCAAGTTCGATATTGTCGCGTACAATTATTACCACTATTATATATATACAGTATCACGAGATCATTAAATAGCTAAAATCTAATCGGAATTTGAATTGGTAGTGCTATTATAGGAAAAAATTCCAGAAAAGCTGAGAGCCAGAAGTCATCTGGAAACGTAATTTCCGTGAGCTTTGTACTAATTGTTTCGAATTGAGTTTGACAGAATCCAATGGAATTAAATAATTTTCAAAATTTAAAATTGCTTTTCAAATTCATTGAATTCTAAATTGTTTAAATCGATTTTATCAGAATGTAATTCTAGCCATCAATCTCCATAGCATCAATAATAAAACCATCACTATTTACATTACCTAGGAATGTTGATCAAAACTTGAAACTAACCAACTAAATATAAGGGTGATAACTTTTCTTTGTGAGCCATGTGTAATTTAAAACGCCATTTTTTGTTGTGACCTTTCACAAATAATGATCTTTTATCCTACAGACTCCACAAGTTCCTCTAAAAAAAATAAATTTTGTTATCGTTATAAAAATTAGTAATATAAAGTGTATAATTAATGAAATATTGTTATGACATATGATATTTTACCAAACAGAATTTCGACATTAATGTCAGGAAATGGAATATTTAAATGATAGTGTTATATCGGAATCCTAAATAAAAAATACATTGTTTAACACTTTGATTTACTTATACTTGGTCGATATGCCAAATCATTGTTTACAATGTATTCAAAAAAATTGCTGATACCTCCAAATTTTTCTACCAAACCATGCAATCCAATATTTTTTTCTATTTGCTCTATTATATTAATTAAAAAAAAGGTTAACCTATGATCGCATGATATGTATCAAATACTAAAGATGTAGAAATCATAAGAAATTCAAGATATCAATTCCAAGCCTCATCTGAGTCTAAGTATAAATTTTACACTCACCATTCTCCTGAAGTTTTCTATTTAGATCCTTAAAAAGGCTTTCTTTAAAGGAAAGGTCAATTTCACTACTAGACACGGTAATGCCTTTGTGTCCAAGTGATGGTCATGAACAGACCCATAACACTTTCAAATACGTAAAGATACTTTGTAGAGATACTTTTCTAAGACTTAATTTTCTCACAATGTGATAATAATATCCTTAGAAAATCTAAATCTAATAATATAAAGATCTTGTGATAAGAAAGTTGAATCCTTTCCAGAAAAAAACATTTCCTGATATGTATATTCTGTCATAATATCGATCATATCAACTGAAGCTGAATAGCATCTAAGCAAGGATCCAAAATTTGATAAACTATAAGATAATAAAATGGTCAAAATATAAAATGACATGAAAG